CTAATCCCGCTGACGTGTTGTCATCCCTACTTACTTACTTGCGAGACCATGATACATATAGTCAACAGAGTAGGGAGGATAATGCATCAGCAACTAGGAAGTGCATTGAGGCAAGGGAAGCAGTAACTACTCGCTACAACCATGATGCATACGCTCTCAGTCGGCTCTCACTTTGCTGGAGTATGGAGGTATGCCGCAGTGTGCGTCTACCGCTGACCTTGAGTATCTGAGAGGGGTCATGAAGCGTCGATGGATAGACCAGAATACCCCCTTGAGCGATCGTGCTGAGCAGGAGAAGCTCTTGTGGCAGCGAATTGTGAGATACTCGTGCTGCTGCGATTCTCCACGGGGACTATGTAAAGTAAAGTCTCGAGTGAGAGCCTCTCTACAGGTGTCGGTGACGAGAGAGCCTTCGACTGAAGATATCGATATTGATGATATCTGTGAAACCCTCATTACCGAGCTTCATCTCACCAGGAGCGAGGCTCTTCGTACAAAACGCCAGCAGTGGGAGACGGTGGAAAACGAGGAATCGAATATGACTAAGTCATTGGCTAGAGGAGGAGAAGCTACTGATAGTATACTATCGAGGGTGATTACAGGGAGAGCTCATGGTGGTGGTGGGCAGCTGAATAAGGGGTAAATTGCTACGCATCGAGAGGAGGAAGCTCTTCGAGTCTACACGGTTGATTAGGTCGAAATCAGGAGAGGGTAACACTGATGAGGGCAGCATGAGAGGTTGGTAACTAGACTTCCGTAGGGGTGATGTGGGTTGTGTCAGAGTCATCCCTGGACCATTTGCAACCTGAGATGGTGGAGGCGATCGAGGCACTGCGAGTGAGCCCTTCTGAAGCCAACATCATTCGAGATGAGGATATTGCTGGTGAGCTCTTCCGATCAACCGCAGATGATGAGTCTACCACTGGCAGGGTTGAAGTTCGCAAAACAAACAATCACCGAAGTACTGATAATGCCACAAAAGTTCCCGCAGCTTTTCACTTCCCCTTTGACAAGACCACCAAGAGGCATACTTCTCTTTGGACCACCCGGTAGCATGTCTCAGGGCACCGGTAGCCGAATGATCCGTCGAATGGTTCCTATGAATGGTGGGGCTGAGTTGTCACATATAAGGACACCTGACTTGGTTTGAAGTTTTGAAATGATGAAGACACTCGGATAACACTCCCGTATGTTCCTCTATCGCGATTGCA